CATTACTGTAACAAAAATGCCTGAGATCATCAACTTAAAAAGAGGAATGGTTTGTGGCTCACAGTTTTAAAAGTTTCAGACCCAAATTTCCAAAGTGAGCTGATCTTACTGCTTTTGGGCCCATGGCAAGGCAGTACAACATGGCAGGAGAGCCTAAAAGAGGTAGCATATTCACCTCGTGATCAGGTACAAAAGGAAAGAAGAGGCCAGGGTCCCACAATCCCCTTGAAGGACATACCTCCAATGACCTCTCCTCAGTCCCACCTCTTAAAAATCTCACCACCTCCGAACAGCAACACAGGGTGGGTACCAAAGCCAACGTACACCTACTAAGAGATTAATATTCAAAAAGGGAGGGGCTCTAACAACTCAATAGCAAGAAAAGAAATAATCTCTTTTAACAATGAGGGCAAAGGACTTGAACAGATATTCGTCAAAAGAAGGCAGAGAAACAGCCAGTAATAGACGAAGAAATGTTTAACATCACTTCCTCATCAGGGAAATATCAATGGAAACCACAATGAGATATCATCTCTCACCTGTGAGAATGGCTAATATCAAAGACACAAAGAATAACAAGTGCTGACAGGGATATGGGAAAAAAGGAGCTCTTGGTGGGAATGTAAATTGATACAGTGACTGTGGAAACCAGTATGGCAGCTCTTCAAAAAAAATTAAAACTAGAACTTCTATTTGACTCAGAAATCTCACTTCTGGGTTCATATCCAAAGGAAATGAAATAAATACGTCAAAAAGACATCTGCATTCCCATGTTCACTGCAACCATATTCATAATAGCCAAGATATGGACTTAATCTAAATGTCCAATGACAGATGAATGGATTTGAAACAGTGAAACTAATACATACACACAATTAAATAGTATTTGCCTTAAAAAAGAAGAGAAGGAAATCCCATCATCCGCAGTGGTAAGGGAGGAGGCCAGAGGACTTCTGCTAAGTGAAATTAGGCACAAAAAGATAAACACTGCGCAACCTCACTTACACGTGGACTCTAAGAAGTCGAACTCACAGAGGCAAAGACGGAATGGTGATTGCCAGAGACTGGAAGGTTGGAGACTGCAAAGATTTTGGTCAGAAAGTAAAAAGTCTCAGCTATGCAAGATGCATAAGTTCTACAAAAGAATGAATTTGGAAACGTTTCATACCAGGTGCAAAAATGGATTCAAAATGGATTAAAGAAAAGCAACATACACCGTGATGATTATCGTTAATAGTACTGCATTGTGTACTTGAAGTTTGCTAAGACAGTGCATCTTTAATGTCCTCACCACTAAAAGGTAACTTTACGAGGTGACAGAAGTGTAAATTTAGCTTCAGCGTGGTGACAGTCTCCCAATACATATGTATATGAAAGCATCACATTGCACACCATAAATATATACAATTTTAATTGTCAATTATACCTCAGTAAAGCTGAAAAAGTCAGAAACTGACAGTAAGAAATTAATCTGCATGGACCATCTCTGGAAGACGATGCAAAAATTTAGGACCAGTAGTTAAGAGTGCTAGTGAAAGTGGGAGGATCAAGGACATACATGGGAAAGAGAATCTTGTCTCATTGCATGTTCGGGCCTTCTTAAGGTTAGAAGGGCTATGGGCATGTTTTAGCCAGGCATGGTGGTGCACACCCATAATCCCAGCGTACCTGTAATCCAACTTGAGAAGCTGAGGCAGAAGGATCGTTGCAAGTTCGAGGCCAGCCTGGGCTACAAAGTGAGTTCAAGACCAGCCTGAACTGCATAGTGAGACCCTGTCTCAAAAAGTCAAAAATGAATAAAAAAGAACTTCTGGCCTAAAACCAAACTGTGGCCCAAAACACAGTCAGGCTGCAGCCGATCTTGCAACCTAGGGGAGCAGGGAAATTTGTATTTCTCAGTTGAAGGCAACACCCTGCCATGACTTTGCATGTGGAAAAGAAGGCTGCAAAGTGGTTCTGCAAAAGGAGAAGAGAGGGTTAACTTTTCTGTATATCACAAAGTGAAAAGAACTTTGTTTCTGAAGGGGGCTCTGGAGACTGACACCGAGAGAGAAAGGCGGGGAGAGAGAGAGGCGCCCAGGCACTTGCAGAAGGCCTGACCCTAATGAGAGTCTTCCAGGGAGGAACTCTCTGTGACAAGGAGTGCCCAAGAGATTTCCAGGAACTGTGCTATCCCAAGGCTATCTCCTGCTATGTACTACAAAGTCCACCCATCCCACCCCCCAAACACGCTATGCCTTCAGCTGGCACTACAAGTCTGTAACACATAGTAAAGTGTTGAGCTTTGGAGGAAAAGGGTGTCCCGAGTGGGGCCAGGCAGGCTGCCAAGAATAGCAGATGAAAGAGCCGAGAGATGACTGTCAGAGCAGGGAGCAGTGGTGACCTTGGGTGCAGTGCAGGCTGACTGGGAAATACGGTCCCTGCCATCGCACAAAGTGGGGGTTCTACAGAATATGGGACGCAGACGCACAGGGCTTTATTTGTCCACAGTGATCCCCGAAGCCTAGCAAGCTTGTGCCATCTGTCACATACCCACTTATTTGGGAAGCAAATCAATAATGTCCATCTCTTCCCTTTTTTCTGTTCTTACCCTAATATTTTTTTTAGAGAAATTAGCTGAGCACGTAAAATGCCTTAGATTTTGATCTAGCTGAAGGCAAACACAGACTGGTGGCTGAGTAAGCCTGCATCCTCCTCTGACACCCACGAGAAATAGTGCCCCCTGCCCCCACATGGTAAATAAAGATCAAAGATGATCCAACCCAGGCATACATGACTCAAGTAGAGTGTGCTCCTCTCCACTCTGGTCTGTAACTCCCTCCAGCTTAACCAGCTCTTAAACACATGCTCTGCCTGAACCTTAGACCTCGCCCTCCACCATGCGTCCCTGCTGGAACTCGACAGCAGCCTGGGAAGAGATCACACGCTGACCACAACACAGACAAGAACAGGCTCCTCGCAGATGTGATAAGGCCTTGCACTCGCTACAGAAAAGTCTTTCCTCAGAACAAAGAAAATATGTCTCTACTGTTCTCCTTTAGATCCAATCATTCGCACAAATATTTAAAGCTCCAATTCATTTACAAACCTCCCTTCCACTAAATTTTCCTGCACCCAGGATTCATCATTTCCTATGATAAATCCTTACAGATCCAGCCCCTCAAAACGAGTCCAGGGCTGGGAATATAGCTCAGCGGCACAAGCCCCTGCCTGGCAAGCGCAAGGTCCTGAGTTTGATTCCCAGTACCAAAAAAACCCAAAAAAACAAAAACAAAAAATGAGAGTCCCTTTTCTCTCTTCTCTCTTCTCTCTCTCTCCCCTCCTCTTCCCTCTCCCTCCCCCCTTCTCTCCCTCTCCCTCCCTCCCTCTCTCTCTCTCTCTGCCTCTGACCAGACTCTTCCCTGATAAGGCAAGCAGGGCCCTGAGCATGACAAAGACAGCTCTGTTTCCTCAGACCTGAGTCCAGTCCCATGACCTGTACCCACTGACACAACCCTCTTACTGGGCCAGGCCTCCGCAAGCCCACATCCAGGCTTCCACCAGGCATTCACAAGGCAACCACAGCCCCAAGACATGACAGCTTGAGCCCCTGGAAGCCAGTCATAAAGGAGAAACTCTAACCCCAGAGAAGGAACCTTTCATCTGAGCCCACACCAGGGAGCTATTTAAGGTGTGCACATGTATATTGGAGAAAATCCCCTCCAGGATGTGGACTCCATCCTGTCCTTGAGCATTGGGACCACAAACCACCCTGCATTTCCCTAGAGTCGGTATCTGTATGGCTTCTTCTCATCACTGTGTACTCAGCTTGCCATGTTTTAGTTTCTGCATCTCCTCGTAGACACACAATCCCCACAGCCAGGGAGGGGACACAGGACACACTGAGGACACATTTCCCATCGTAACCCTCCAGACACTCCTTCCCAGAGACAGCACAGCTCAGCACTGCACAGTTAAGAGAATTTTCACCGCCTTAGCTCAAACTGAACTTCTCCTATACCTGCTGGGACCTTAGTGCCCCAAGTTTTGTCCATTTTCCCCCAAATTCTTATCTCCCAATATCCTGACTCAGAATCTGGGAGAGAAAAAAGACTCACTCCAAGGCCCGGAAGCAGAAAAGTTCTCAAGCCCTGGAGTGGGATTCAGACTCATCCCCTCTTCTACGCTAAGACAGTTTGTCCCAGTCGGTAGACAACCCCGATCTCAAGAGGGTACTTAGGGGAAAGGCCCTGAGTGGCACCACACTGAAAGGAAAAACCACCACCCCGACCCCTATTCGTGTATCCCGCTGATCCTTGCTTTCCAAGTACCACCTATTTCTCTCTTAAGCCTCCAATTCAGTCACAATACATAAGCTTTTAGGAAAAAATAAAATAACTGTGTTCTCCATCGGAATAATACACAAGATCACACTTACCTTTTGCCAAGACTGGAGCAATGCTTAGAGAATTCCCTTCCCTCCCACCCACCCCTCCGCAACAGTGTTTGATTCCTTTGAAACACCATCTGGGAGAAATCATTCGCACAAATATTTAAAGCTCCAATTCATAAAAAGGCCAATGAGAGCACATACCCCCGGACTCTACCTGTGACTTGGCAAGTGCTTTGGGAGATGGAGTTATGCAAAAAAGCATACCCAAAGCATACCCCAAAACACCATCTCATTCCCTACCCAAGAGGGTTCTGACTGTGTTACACAAGCATCAGTGAGAAAGAAAAAGAACAAAGTGAAAATGTGATTGCCTTCCCCTAGGGACTCAGGTGAGATGGATGACACACAGACGTCTGCTGCTTCCTCAGAGGCACAGAAAGGCCAGGCGACACATCATCCAAAGCAGAGCCAAATTTTGGGGTGTGATCCGCTGTGTCTCGGGACCCCATGCTGAATAAAAGGATAGTCTACACAGAGTTGTAACCTTTGACTTTTATCTGGCGGCCCACAAGTACCCAGGGGACCTGAGCATCCCAGGCCTGGCCTTTGTCTTATGAAGGTCACATACCTCAGAAGGTTGAAGCTCAGATCAAGCCTCTTTGCAAAATGTCCACAGTCCCTGCCAAGGTGTTCTGGAATCTCTCTGCAGTCCTGGCCTATGTAGGACACCTGGAAATTAAATGCAACAGAAACAATGTGGCAAACAGAAATTACCCAGCTGTTCACAGCCCGGAGTCATTGATCCGATGATTGCTTCCGCAACTTTAAAGGCATGCCCCTCGCACGCAGAAAGGCTACATGGTGACTGTTGCCCTCGTCACAACAGTTTTTGGGGGGTGTCAGAGATCCTGCCACCTTCTCCCCCCTCCTGATGCAGTTAGCATGATGGAGATTTCCCCAGCATAATGGAAATTAGACTAAAATTGGCCAGAATTGGGTGTCCAAAAGAAAGCCCAACAGCAGGGCATGTTGATAACTCACTACATTCAGCCCCCCACTCAGAGGCCTTTCCAACAGCTGCCCCTCTGGCTCTTCTCTCTCTATTGTTCCTCCGTCACCCCCTCAATGCCCATGTCCATGCAGAGGACAGAGCAGATGCCCTCACCAGCGCTCAACCTCCAGGCTTCTGGAACAGACAGGACTGGGCAAGGAAAGCTCCCCGGACCACCAATCCCATCCCCGCCGTGTATAAAATGTCATCTGCACTCCAAACAGAGCTGACTCAAAGATAACAGGGCAGCAACCTGTGACCGGAGCTTCCAAGTCATCCCTCTTCCAGCAGCAGCCTTTTGTAATCAACCTGCCTGTGCAGACACAGCGGTCTCCTTAGGCATTCTTTTGTATTTCTATTTTTATTGCACTTATTTATTTACTTAAAGTACCTCACGTGTACCCAAATAGGAAAAGGCCACACTGAACTCTGACTCAGAACTTCAGGTTAGGGGAAGATTGGTGGGCTCTCTCATCACCCCAACCACCTGCTTTGGGGACCCCACTTTTACAGTGGTGCATTGCAGCGGGATTGGCAACTAATTTCAGCACTGGAAAAATAAATCTACAGGTCAGAGATGGCCTGTGGGCCACGATACGTGGCACAGTCCTAAAGTACCCACCTTCAACCCTACGTAGAAATCCAGCCCATCACAAGGAGACAGCCTTGATCCTATCTCCCTACAAATCTATATGTGTCTATGCAGACAGACCAAGCTATCTTGAAATGAGGGGCAAATTCCCCAGGGCATTATGTTTCCTAGTGGACAAAAAGACATGGTGGCCATCTCACATGCTCATTAGGCAGACCAATATCCAACCATTTTACACTATAAAACAAAACTTTCACATAACTAAGCATAAAGCAAACTGCAATGTACCCTAACCCTCCATTTATAAAGTTGCTTATCCCTCTCCTATCCAGTGGGGACATGTGGAGGACCACCTGGATGACTCTGCTTGAAAGAAGAGTAATTATCTCCATTTAGGCTAAGCCTGGCCCTATTTCCTGGCCCTATTGTATTGATATGTATAAAGCTGGCTAGGACTTTTCCTTATCCCCTCAATTGGCTTTAAGCAATGCAAATGGGCCCAGCTGAGGTGCTAATGTGTAGTCTTTGAAGCAAGGTGACAGATCAGTGTTGCCCTGCCCTGTAGCTCCCAAGAAGCATGTGTGAGCTGGATGGGATGGAGAGCCATGCTCCATGCTGTCAGCTGGGATTGAGCCTCAAGATAAGAGGTTATGACTTCCCAGGGCATAAAATAATTACACTTCAGAGCACTAACCCCAAAACATTAGATGCTACCTTAAACTGTGTTATGCAGATTACTCTTTCCGCGTATCCTTCTCTCTGTATATCTCACCTACCTAGGCCAGCTCACAGCACTCATATACTTTCCCCCATTCTCACACTCACTCATCCACAAGCCACTCCCCTCCTCAAGAAACAATAAAACAGAGGATCAGCCCTGGTCAAGGCCTTTGTTCTGTTTAGCCATCATATTAGCTGGACATTGGACCCCCTTTAGCTCCCCACAACTAAAAACATGCTTTAGGGCCTTTATTCTCACCATGGGTTACACTGGAAGTAGTAGATTGGAATTCACTCGCTAGAATTCCAATAACTTTTCCACGGGATTACAAATTTAAGGTTCCCAAACCATGACAAGGACCAGGAAGGCTCTCTACAGGGACAAACTTCTGACAATGCAATATCCTAGATCCACTCTCCTCCCATTCACTCTCCTTTGGTGACTTCACTCTGGGTGGAAAGAAAGTAGAGAGTAGCTGGCTACAATAAAATAATTTTGACTCAGGAAGATACAAGCTAAAAAACAAAGGGATCTAAATTCAATCTAGCAGTCTCCCCTTTCTACATAAGAACGGTTTTTCTTCGCATTTCCTGGTATAATAAATTAAGTTGTGCTTCCAAGCTGAGTTGGAAAACATACACCAAGGAGAGAACTGGGATATGAGATCTCAACTGATCTAGCGACTTTTGCTTCCTAGGATATCTATCTTCTCAATCAGTAGTTTCTTATTGATTATAAATTCACATTGACACCCATACATACGGGGCTCACCCAAGAACCATCCCATTCCACCATCGTGCACAGATCAGGAGCACTCAGGACCTCTGATACAGCAGAGAAGCTGAGTAAACAAAACACTGACTTATTTCCTTACAGATTAACCAGGGACTACATCTCACAGGGGCCCAGCTCATCCAGCCCTTTATCCTTTATAAAATGAAGTTAGACTTCAGAGCCCTGTTCAACATAATACTGCAATTTTTTTGAGGCAGGATCTAGCAAAAGAAAATAGATGAAGTAAATATTCCTACAGAGAGGAGCACGAGAGAGGGAACTGAGAAAGTCTGGAAAGGACCCCACCCATGCACATACCAGGCCCTCTGACAGAAGCTGCAGAAGATCAGACTGCAAAGGACTTCAGGTTTCTCATCGCCATTGAGGCAGTTGCTCTCAGACCTTTCTGGACATGACAGATTTATCAGTGGTCAGGATAAGGGGAACTTATTTTATGACACCCATTCCTGAATAAGGTGTGAGGGATCCTTGGTACCATATTTGCATTACCCAAAGCTCTGTGACAGTAAAAACAGCCTTAGGTACAAAGTTTCAGACCCTGTGATGCTTACTGGCTGTTTTATCTTGGGTGAGTCACACTTCCCAGGGTTAGGTTCCTCTTTTGTAAACTAACCTAACACTGTCTGCCCCCAAACATAAAACTAACGTTTATTCAATGCCAACCATGTGTCCATCATTTACTCAGTCCTCATGAAACCACTTATGAGATGACACATGTTATTATCCCCACTTACTTACATCATTAAAATGACATATGAAAAACACACAGCCTTGTCCTTGACACCTAAGGATTGCTTGGTAAATAGTTGTTAAATCAGACCAATATCCCTACAGAAGAAATTGGCTATTTCTGATGTCTCTTGAGAAAAAGACTTCAGTGCCCAAATTTCAAGTTTGCATTTGTGTTTACTATAACCGATGCTGGGATTTTGTCACGCTTTTGTGGAAAAAAGAATAGAGGCCTTAATGCTGAATATAAACGATGCGTTCAAGCCAACAGAAACCAAATGAAGTCAGACCCCAGTTGAAGGAAAAGACTTCACAAGGAAACACGATAGAGGGCTATAGCACCACCAAGCATGTGGGGTTATGGGCTTTGGAACTCTGAAAAACTGCCCTGTAGCAGTCAGCCCATGGTGCCATGGGAAGCAGCCATCTAGATTCAGCCAAACATCCATCTCATTAAATTGTTTATTTTAATTTTATTGGGTTTTTTTTTTTCACTTTGCACTTAAGCCATTCCTTTACTTGGGATTTACAGCTCTCTAAATATTGAGAGTTACATCTGGTTTTATGTTTGTATGTTTCAGTAATATTGCAATAAAAACCATACCAACACTTTCTTCTCGTGGGAAGTTTTCCCCCTTTCAGAAGGACCTACCTTCTTAAATAGAATAATGAACATTATAGACTGGGGAAGGGGAACGGGGTGGTTAACAGGTAAGTAGTGTAGTAGGATAAGAAAAATAATTTCTAAAGTTCTATATAGTGCAGCAAGGTAACTACAGTTGGTGACAATTGTGTATCTCAAAACACTTAACAGAGAGGATTTTGAAAGTTCATAACACAAAGAAATAAGGGGTCAGCAGTTGAAAATGAATACACCAATTGCTATCTCCTGATAAAGACACACTGTATACATGCACTGAAATACTACGTTGTACCCCATAAATAGGTACAATTATTATGTGTCAATTTTTTTTTTTTTTTTTTTTTTTTTGGTTTTTGGTTTTTGGTTTTTCTCCGGTACCGGGAACCGAACTCACCACCTTGCGCTTGCCAAGTAGGCGCTTTTGCCGCTGAGCTAAATCCCCAGCCCCTCAATTTTTTTTTTTAAATTCCAAAAAGGAACAATCTACCGATACATTCAAGATGCTCTCTCTTTCAACAGTGGCCATCGTAACCTGCCTGGGGCAAAATGTTAACAAATATATGTACCACCTTGGGCCAGACATTGGGCACTAATACCCAGGGCCATGGTCCCAGCCTGCCTTCTCAGCTCCTCCCCAGGCGGGCTTCTTAAACCCATCCCCAAGGACCCAAAACGTCTCAGCGACACTTCATGAGTGTCCTTAAACTGTTTGGAGTAGGTTCGTGGTAGGAGGGGCAAGAAACAACATGCTTTGGTAATGGGGAAAGGAGGCCTGAAAAAGTTGTGGAACCCACGGTTAAGTCCTCCATGAGCTTGGAAGAAGCTATGCACAGAGAATGCTGGGACCTAAAATGCAGCCAGACCAAGGTTCCTTCTCAGGCAAATGCTCACAGAGAAGGCCCAGGCCCTCACCCCAAGACCTTCCCTCTGGGAAACCAAGTTCACACACACCCCCAGAAGCCCTTGTCTCTGGGGCAGACTCAGGGTCATTTTTAACCACTCCCAAAGGCTGGTCCTGCCCGGTTTGCTCGCTATGAACTCTGGCCAGATCCCCCTTTACAGGCTGAGGTTGGGGGTAGAGTCAGCAATGCACACAACAAAACTGTCAAAGGCCAGACCAGAGAGACACTGGAAGAGCTCAGGGTCCAGCAGGACCTGGTACAGGGCCTGCTGCACAGTAGGCCCTCAGCTGTTTTTCTGTGGGGTTTTTTTGGTTTTCTTTGTTGTTGTTTTTTTTTTTTTGTACAGGGAAGCAAACTCAGGACCTTGCACTTGCCAAGCAGGTGCTTATGCCACTGAGCTATATACCCAGCCCTCAGTAAACATGTATGATTGACAAAATGACAGGACTCCAGAAAAAAACAGTCTGATGGGATGCACGGCTGGCCCTCACTCCTTTCAACAGAGTTGTAAGACCCCACACCTCTGTAGCCCAGTCATCTCAAAAATCCAACTGTGCCTGACACCACCCGCCTTAGGCAATCCAAAAGGACAGCTTCAAAAGCGCAAAACTACTTCTCCCGGGTGTGTAGACAAAGGCCAACAGTGGGAGGGCCAGCTTAATCGGGGAGAGAGAAGAGATGAAAGATAGAGAAGTCCGATGTTTCCAGCAGATACCGATGCATGGTCCTAACCTGGCTGAGTTCTCCCCTCCAGCACTGATTAACACCTGAGGCTTCCTACAGGGCTGAACACCAGGGAGGCTGGATGTCTGTCATGCAGGGTTGGAGCTGGAGTGTTGTCATTCCCCACAGATACCTGTTCCAGAAATCAGGGGGCCAAGGAAAACAAAAGAGGACCCTGCCTAAGGAGCCCACCTTTATGGCAGAGCCCATCAGCAACACCCACTGCCACCACTACCACCCCGCACCCTCACGCGTTGTAATTTTCATTGTGATTTTGGTGCCCCTAAGCACTTTCCCCTCCGTGGGGGCCTGCCCTCCATTTAAATATAAAAATATTAGTTAATTATATTTTACAATTGCATTGGTATAAAGACAAGTAAAATGTTACACATTAAAACTTTTTCTTTGATCAAAAGTGCTTTTATAAATTTGGGTTATGAAAGAAGAGAAGAAATTAAAACACTGTATGTGGGCCCCCGTGAAGTCTGGGAGAGAGAAGCCGGTCGCTTAGTGAGACATCAGAGACAGTTGGGTAGCGGGAAGGGACGGGGGTTTGTGCCCACACGGCCGGGGAGTGTGCTGAGCACAAGGAGTCTGTGTTCCCCAGGCACTGGCGCTTCATTCTGTCCACCTGCACACGCCCCCCACCCAGGCTGGGGGCGCACTGGCAGCCCGGGGACCCCGCGGTCCCCCACCCCGCTGTGCCCAGGCGCAGGCGCGCTCTTTCGGGCGGACTTACTTGAGTTCCACTGACCATGAGCCCAGCCATGGTGGCCCGGAGCCCACTGAGCGCAGTGGCGGCGGCCGTGGCGCGCAGTTCCGCACTGGGCGGTCAGCTGACCCGGCGGAAACCCGGACCGCTCCAGCCGGCTGGGAGCGCGCTGC